GAAAGAAAAAGATCCGGAACCCCTTAGGGGGGGGGGGGGGCCCCTTTTTGGGGTTTGGGGAAATCCCCCCGGGGTTTTCGCTTTTGTTTTTGGGAAACCTTGTTCGGGGGAAACCCGGGGGTTTTCCTCCCGGTTTTTTGGGGGAGGGGGGGTAAAGGTTTAAAGGTTTGGGGTTGGAAAAATTTGGGGTTCCCCCCCCCCCCCCCTTCAGCTTTGGGGGGGGGGAAGGGGGGGATAGACACACATGTCCATGGGGAAAATGGGGGGGGGGTGGACCCCAAATAGTTGGGGGGGGGGAGTTGTACAGGAAGGAAAGGGGGGTTTTGGGGGGGGAAAGGAGAAAGGGGGGGGGGGAAAGGGAAAAGTTGGGTAAATTGGAAAACAGGGAAAAAAGGATCAGGATAATGGGGGATAGAGGGGGGGCAAAAGGGTCCTTAGGGGAGGGGGATAAGATGGGGGAAAAGGGGTAGGCCCCCCCCCCCCCCACACCTCATCCGCCCAACGCGACAAAGTACAGGAGCTGACCAAATGCGACTTCGCCTCGCTCACCCGGTACTACGACGGCCGAGACGACCTTGCCACCTACACCCTGGACACCGAGTTGCAACGGATGAGGTACTCCGTTGTGATGGAGGACGGCCGCTGTCTCGGTGGGGATGAGCGGGAGGGAGCGGAACCGGAGCTAGAGGGGGGTGGTGGCGCCGGCGGTGGCGGGAGCGTTCTGCGAGAGTTTCTAGCCGGGCGAGTTGGCGACGCCATGCTCCGCATGGCCAACCAGAGCATCTTCGCCGACATGCTCGAGGTAAGTTTGTTGTGACGGCGGTGGGATTTTGCGTGTTTTGGTTTGTTCTGGGTCTCTGCTGTCGGTATGGCGCTGTGAGCTGTTCGCGTCTTGCAGCAGCAACGTTGCACCGTTATGCGGAATACTACGTCCAACGACGCAACACGAAGCACATCTATGTCTTTGTCTGTCTGTCTGTGTGTATGTGTGTATGTCTGTCTGTCTGTATGTATGTATGTATGTATGTATGTATGTATGTATGTATTTATGTATGTATGTATTTGTATGTATGGTTTGTACAAGGCGTCCTACCGGAGTGGGGTAAAGAGAGCACCGCGGTAAGGGGTGATGCAAGAACACATGGAAAAAAGCAAACGCAGATAGTCTAAGATTAGAGTACAAACTGGCTGTTTGTTGCTCCCACACTCCGCATTTATTTTCACCGGCCGCGGATTCCAGGCCGCCAAACGACTTGAAATTCATCAGAGTCGTTGTGTCGCCCAGGAAATGCACACACACACCCTCGCCACAGGCGGGCGGAGAAGCGTTGTATTCGCGCGTGTAGCATGCAAACAGTATGTAGGGCGGTGACCGTAGCATCATGTGTGTGCGTCTCACATTCTGGAGAAAAGACGAGGCCACAAGGATGTGGATGGAATTTTTATTTTTTGTGAAGGTGGGACGGATCGAATGAATCCACAGACAGGAGCAGCGCGCGCGCGCGTGTGTGTTTTTTTTCAAACATTCAAAGAAAGATGGATACACGTAAGCAGACACAGCCGAACTATCCCGCAGTACATACATACCATAACGCGCATGTACGTACTGTGCACCCACCACGACGGGGGGGAAACAAATTAAATTATGTTCACGGGTGGTGAACGGTAAAAAATGTGTCGAAACGAACTCACGTCCGCAGCGGCCTGGGTGCAGAACTATTTTGTCATCACTATATATTTTTTTTCCTGAGTATGACCCAACGAATCCTTCTCTATCTAAGAAAAGAGTCTAAAATACTTAGATTAGCAATGAATTCATAGCGTCAAAGAAAGCTACCTGTTTTTCCACGATTTCTCGAGCAGCACACAGCGATATCTATTTGTTCTACGTTCATACAACGTCGTGCTATATTCGGTCCAACGTTCCGACTTTGTGCAAGCTGTGCTGCTGCGGGTCGTGGGTGCTTGTTAGCTACAGTACCTACCACAGCGTTTGTTTCCCTGTGCCCCACGAAGGGTGAGAGCCAGGGAGGAGGTGAAATAATGCAATATGAGCAGCTAAGACCCGAGCAGCAGAATAAAACAGCAGCAGCAGCACAGCGGCAAAAACGTGGGAGTCGATCACAGCAGTAGAAAAGAGAAAACCACCAAACAGGCGGCGGGTGTTGTTCTGAGTTGAAGAGAGGGCAAATGGGACCGACCGACCGACAGCTAACCTCGCACCATCAATCAGCCGCGCTTCGAGCCACAACAGCGTCCCACCTCTTAGATTGCTACAGTACTTGAGGCCACCCGCTTACTAAGAGAGGTTCAGACCTTTCTCGCGGGCGGGCGTGTTTGTTGTGTTCCTCCACCGTGCACAACCACGAGAACAGACGTACAGACGTGTGTGCGTTTTCGCACTGCTGTAATACAGTAATACGGAGACCTGTGACCAAGCAAGGCGTTCTTCGCTGTTCTACCCCGCTACTGCTTGCTGTGCTAGAAATAAATAAATAATTTTACGATTGCTTCAAAGAATATGAAAGACTCTCCAAGTCGAACAGCCGCCTGGAAACAGAAGGGACAAGAACACTCGAACAGCCTCCACTGATAACGACCAGCCAACACAAATGTATAAGTGTACATATGTATGTATGTCTGTATCTCTGTATCTCTGTGTATCTCTGTATCTCTGTATCTCTGTCTCTGTCTGTCTGCTCACTCTGCCTC